GCCACACGGGCTGCGGTGTCTAAGCCGCCCGTCGTCGGAGTCTGGGGCGTATTCTCCGCCAGTCTGCCAAGGACTCAGCGAGCCCTGCAGCCTGCTGCGGGCAAGACATGCGGGGTGGTCTCCTGACACCCGTCGGGATGTATTTTGCTTTGCTACTCCCGCCGCCCGCAGCTCCCGCTGCCACTTTTCGCCCTCCCGCACGTGCCTGATTGGAGGGGAGAGACAAGGGGGAAAATGAAGAGAGGGAGGCGGAGGGTGATTCAGCGAGAGGCTAGGATGCTGATTGGGGGCGGGCCATCGCGCTATGCCCGCTCCCCTGTTGCTCCTGCTTCGGTCTGGCATCTTTCTGGAGAAAGTTGGTGACGACGAACAGCGTAGAAACGAGGACATCGAGAACCAACCTAGATGCAGGGGGGAGGGGGTAACGGAGCGGAGGGGATGACGCGGGCAATGGCGATGCGTAGACGAAGACGGCGCAGGAGGATGGGGATGAGGGGGAACATCGAGACAAAAGAGCAACGCAGGAGGGACGACATCGAGACCAAGGCTGGAGAAGAAGGTCAAGAGGCTAAGGGCGATACCTCCCGTTTCAATCCAGGGAGCCGAGGGGGTAACGATCATTACGCACCAGAAGGGAAGAAGGATCTCCTACATGATCTGCCCCGAACCGCTCAGTCGTCTCCTGGTGGCCGAGCGCATCCTTCGCCCCACAAAAGGCGATCGGGCTGCTGGCGTTGCGACGTCGATGTTGACGCCTTTCCCCCCCTCCCCCCCCCGAATGAATCCATCACGTGAGGCTTCGCTCCGACTGCCCGCGTGCACCCGCCCCCCCCCCCCGCCGGCCCCACACATCCTGCGGGGCCCAAGAGGCGCCCAAGAGGCCTTCAAGAGGCTGCCCAAAGGCCCCCAAGAGCAAGAGGCCTCAAGAGGATCTCCGAAGCACCCAAGACGCTCAAACAAACCCTTGGGTCTGCCAAGAGGCCATCTAGACGCTCCAAGAGGCCTCCAAAAAACTTCCAAGAGGCATCTGAAGAGTCCCCGAAAGGTCTTCTGCATGCTCCCCCACTTCCCTGATCACCTCAACTCCCCTGGGCATCGTTTCTGGATGGGCTGGTGGGGATTTTTTCGTCGCAGCCGCAGGCGAAGGCGCACAGCGGCGTCACAAGTCAATTGGGGGGACGAGCAAGCCTATATTAACCTAGCGCGCGCACTGGCCTTTGCTGAACAACCGCCGAGGGACGCTGAGGTGCGCCGAGGGCTGAGGCTGCAGGAGCTGCTAGGAGCTGCCATGAGAGCCAAGCAAACGTGCGGGCATCCCAAAGGCGAGACCACCAAGAAGGATTAATTGAACCTTGTCGCACCAGGCGCCAGAGGTCGACGCGCCACAAGCGTGGCGAAGCGCGGGGCTGCATAAACAGTCCAACGAGCGAGGCTGCAAGCCAACGGGGACAATCACACATGGCAGGCAAGACCTACCGCGAGTGGAAGCGGCCGCGCCGGGGCTGAGCTGCGCCGAGGGTGGGCACTGCCAGCTGCGGAGGCTGCCAAGATGCTGCAACGTGCGAGTACCATGGGGCTGAATCGCCAGGCACGTGAATTGGACCTTGTTACTACAGGGCGCCAGAGGACAGGGCAGCAGACAGACAGGTGACACGCCTGGCCGCTCAAGAAGGCTGAACCACTCCAGAATGAACCGGCGGGCCAGTACCCCATGGGGCCAGCTGACAACCAGGAACCAGGGAAGTGCAAGCACTCGTGCTGGAACTGGTCAGAACGCACGACACCTGAACGCCGGGGCTCACAAGCCTCCACGGAACAGCGGGAGAGCCACATGCGCGAGGGACGGACGCAACCGCCGGGGGCTGAGGGGATCTGAACCCGGCGCCGGCGGCGAAGTGGGAGCCAGACGCAGCCAGGCGAGGCATTGACTGGGGACCAGAGGCCAAGGAAGTGCATGCACTCGCGCCACTGGTGGGGATATTTTTTTTGTCGCGGCTGCGGCGAGCGCGCCAGCAGCATCGGTGGAGTCGCTCGGGCCGCGGGCGCCCTAATTGCTGGCGCGCGCGCCGAACAGGCTAGCAAACCTACCGCTGGGGGGGAGCTGCGCCGAGGCAGAGCTGCGCCGGGGGGTGGAAGCTGCCAGCTGCGGAGGCGGCTGGGGAGATGCAGCGTGCGACTACCATGGGTGCGAGATCACTAGGCACGGGAAGTAGGCCTTGTCGCCACAGGGCGCCAGGGGCACGATGGAAGAACCGCCAGGGGACTGCCAGGCTGGACAAGAAGGCTGAAACACTCCTGCGGAAACCAGCGTCCCAGGGGTCAGCGGCTGACCAGGCCAGGGTAGTGCATGCACAGCCCTGGTGGGGATTTTTTGTCCGCAGCCGCAGGCGAGGGCGCCAGCGGCGAGTGAGGTCCGAGCGGGCCGCGCAAGATGCGAATTACCTAACGCCGACGGGCCGGCGACCTCAGCAGCGCCTCGGCGGGCGGGCAGGCGTGAGGGGGGGGGGTGCGGGCTGCAGCTGCCAGGGACCAGGTCCAGGAGCGCGCACATGCACGATCAACCAACCAGGGTTGGAGCGCAGCCAAATTGGCGCGGGGGTAGTACCAGGATGTGGCCAGGAAGGCAACCAGGAGTACACTGCGCCAGCTGCCAGCGTCAACCATTTTTTCCAGTCGGGGTCCCTTTTCGATTCCGCCCAGGGGAAGTTTTCGCCACCCCTGCCATTTACAAACAACACCTCCCGCCAATGCGGTGCGGGCAGGAGGCGCCTGTACTTCCGCCCGCGGACGACACCCTCGCCCGAATCACTGCGCTCTCCGAGCGAGGCCACGCTCCCAAGGACCGCCAGGACCATCTGAGAGCGGCGACTTTCTGGTGGGCCAGATCAGTGGCGCGCTCGAGAAGACTGCAACCGCGGATCGAAACATCCTCCACTCTTCCTCCTCCTCCTCCTCGTGATCATCCTCCTCATCCTCCTCCTCCTCCTCCCGGCCCCAACCAGAATTTCTAGCGTCCTGGTCTCGGGAACCCCGGGGCCCATCGGGCGCAGCCCTGCCGGCTCCCGGCTCCCGCCCTGCGCGGCCGGGCGCCTACCGCCACTGCCACCGCCCAGAAGAAGCGCGTCAACCCGGCGCCTGGGGCACCCGGCGCCCTCTTGCCCGGGACGCTGGCCGTCCGTCCTGTCAGCCGCTCCAGCTGTGGTGCGCTCGCTCACGCTCCCGCGGCCTGTCCCTTGGCCTTCCTGCTCCCGGTCCTCCTCCTCCTCCTCCTGCTCCTCCTCGTCCTCCTCCTCCTGCTCCTCCTCCTCCTCCTACTCCTCTTTCTCTGTCCTCTTCGTCCTCCTCCTCCTCCTCCTCCTCCTCCTCCTTCCTTCTCCTCCTGCTCTTCTTCTTCATCCTTCTCCCCCCTCCTCCTCCTCCTCCTCCTTCCTCCTCTTCCTTCTGCTCTCCTTCCTCCTGCTTTTCTTCCTCATCCTTCTCCTCCTCTTCCTCCTCGTCGTCGTCGTCGTCCTCCTCCTCCTCCTCCCATCCTTCCCTCTCCTCCTCCTCCTCCCTCTCCCCTTCCCCTTCCCTGCCTACTCCTCATAGTTCCGCCGTGGCTATAGCGTTACTGGCTGTAACGTCCGTCCCCTCCTCCTCCTCCTCCTCCTCCTCCTCCTCCTCCTCTTTCTCCTCCTCCTCCCTCCTCCTCCTCCCTCCTCCCTCCACCTCTTTGTTTGTCCAGGCTAAGGCTGTAGCTTTACTTGCTGTAGCGTCTGTCTCCTCCTCCTCCTCCTCCTCCTCCTCCTCCTCCTCCTCCCGTGGAGATCCCCCGCGCGCAGAGCAACAACACAAAATAATAGACCGCACTGTGCGGAGGACGGACAAGAGAGGCAACACACAAACAGAGCAACATCACAGACGCGAGGTTTTCAGGTGCCTCTTTGGATACCCGTATCGAGAGTCTGAAGGTCATGCCGCGCCGCGAGGGAAAGACCTGTACGACGACAGCGTTAGCGAGGGGGAGGTGCGCGCTGCTTCGAAACAGCTCGAGACAGGCCAGGCCTGCGCAGACGGCTGCTTGGTCGCAGAGATGCTCAGCACAAGTCGTCGCGGTCTCATTCAGTTTGTCGCAGCATCCTCTTCTCACCTGCTGGGCGGCGGTCTGCCAACGCCAAAAGAGCGGAACCTAACGATGATGTGCGTGCTATTCAGAAAGGGGGGGGGCCCAGCGCTACCTGAACACTACGGACCAATTGCACTATTGCTGGCCATGGCAGTGCTCTTCAGCAAAGTGCTGTATCAAATCTTTACCGCGGGCAAATACTTCAAAATGGGAAAAGAGGAATTCGGATTTCTGCCAAGCCAGGGCTGTGCGGATGAGTGCGCCTTGTGCGCGCTGTCATAAGAAAGTCGTTGGAACAGGGGGAGGAAAGGTGGATCACAACGCTGGACGTGGACAAAGCTATCGACCGAGTGCATTATTCGGTCTTCTTCGACGCGCTGCTGAGGAACAGCACCGGTCCAGCTAATACGGCTGCGATGAGGCGCATGTACTTTGGTGTAAAGGGGTATGCCTTGCTTTGAACGCGAACTTACAGTAGAACTTTCGACATTGACAGGGAAGTAAGGCGAGGGAACTCTATGCTGCCTGCTGTGCTGTTCAACATTGTCTTGGACAGGGCGCTTCAAGAGGCCCGCATCATGCCGAAGCAAAGAAGGCAGGTGCTGCACACAACATGTCGGACATGATTGCCGCAGGCACCGCCTGCCGCAGGCACCGCCTTATCCACGCGGCCTTTGCTGACGACCGAGCGCTTTCGGCGCGCAGCTCGCGCTCTCTGAAGCCCCAGGACTGGCGACTGCCTTCACGGGCGTCCCTCCCCGACCCAGGACGAGCACGGTGTCGCGATGCGGCTGGCTGCGGCTGCGCTCCGGGAACTCTGGAGCATCCAACGGCCTCCGCCTCCCGAGCTCTTGCGAGCCCGCGCGGAACAGGAAAACCTGGAGACCTTGGACCG